GTTATTCCTATTTGTATGTGGGTTACCGTCTAGTGCAATGGGTGAATTTTGTAAACAAGAAGCTGTAGCATTTTTTGTATAATCCTTAGAAATTCTATAGCTTGTGATAATGAAACAGGGGGGGGGCAGGGCTTGAAATAGGGGGGATTTTATACATAGGGAAACTTAATGGATTGGGGCATAGCAACAGTGAGGGAGGTTTAATAAAGTTGGGGTAAAAAGAGAGTGGGGCTTCACTTCATTCAAGGGAAAGGCCCTGGAATTAGTTGGTTATTTATGCAATCAGATTGGCTTAATTAATGGAGAGGGCCTGGGGGGGGGGGGATTAATAGAGAGTGGGGCTTAATAGAAAGTGGTGTAATGGGAGGACTGGAGAGAGCTAATAAGAGAGGAGGTCCTCAAATATTATGTCTTGCAAACTATATATAGTATATAACATAACCTTGGCATGCTGATATAAAACCCACTTCATGACTTAGATTCTTGCACTTCACTTGGTGGAATTAATATTAGAATGTTAGGGTTTGGAATCCAAGTGAGAATATATACATTTTAAGACCTAACCAGGAACGACTGCGAAAAATGCAGCACAAGGTCCCCTGGTAGGAATTAATTGAACCTACGGCCCTGCGATTCCGGAGCAGCACTCTAACCAACTGAGCTACAGAGGCCAGCTGTTGAGTTGTAACAGTAAGTTCATGTATATATAGGTAATCGGGTGTGCGGGTTGTGATAAGGTGGACTTCACAACTTAGATTCTTGCACTTCACTTGGTGGAATTAATATTAGAATATTAGGGTTTGGAATCCAAGTGAGAATATATACATTTTAAGACCTAACCATGCAGGAACGACTGCGAAAAATGCAGCACAAGGTCCTCTAAGGTCCTCAATGGATACTACAAGAGGGTGTTGTTTGGTCACCCAAGATTTTTGAAAGCGGCAGGGTCGGGGATGAAGCCCCTGTCTATTAAGCCCTCCCCCTCCAATCCCCAAAAGTTCCTGACATAATATTTATTATGGATTGCATCAAACAAATAGATTTCATCCGTCATCCTTTTATCTTTCATGAGAAATACAACTACCTGAAAAATATGAGAAGAACTTAGACATTTTGAGTGAAGGCCCTTCATTGGGAAGTTAGCATAACTTTGTATTTGACATTTCAAGTGAACGCGCTTTGTTGTCACTGCTAACTTCCCCACAAAGAGGCTTCACTCAAAACGTTGAAGTTCTGCTTGTATTTTTCAGGTAGCTGTATCTCTCAATCTCCAGCTTTCTTGTTGCCCAGAAAAGTTAATTATGTCCACCTTTTTCTGTAATTGTGGATTAAAGTCTGGGGCTGGCAGGGCAAATCTATTTTTCAGTCGCCCCCCCCCTCCCCCCTCCCCCAATAGTGAAATTACACTGTACCAATGAACGAGGACTCTGCCATTCTTCAAGCCTTTCTCAATGAAATGTATACATTCGTCTAAATGACTAAGCAGGTCAGCTTGGAGTTGATCAAGACATTGTACATGTTTCAATATAATATCATGACTGCCCTTGTCATATTTATCTGTGCCAGACAGTGGTTCAGCTTCTATAGTAAGGATATGTGTTACGTTTGTATCCTGGGTCAAACAAGTAAACGCATCTTCTCTATTGCCAATGTAAAGTCCATTATTGCGTATTTCTTTCATAATTTTTCGTTCACATTCCCCAGATTAAACTCCAGGAAATTGTAATTTTTAAAATAGTATATTTACCGGTGTATAAATTGTATAATATATTTATACCACACCAAAAGTACTTCATGTAATGTGATGTAATCATGTTAGAATTGCTAGATAGTATACTTCAAAATAAGGTTTCCGTTTTTATATCAATTTTTAAAATAAGTTAGGGTTAGGTTAGGGTTTAGGTTGGGGTTAGATTAAGGTTAGGGTGAGGGATAGTATTGGGGTTAGGGTTTAGTTTTGAGTTAGGGTAGTTTTTTCTACGTTATAAAAACGGAAACCTTATTTTGAAGTATACTATCTAGCGATCACCATCGTGTTAGCTGGTATGTTTACCGTCGTTTGTGTTTGCCCATGCTCACTTCAGACTTCGGCACTGGCACATTGATAAGCAGCGTTTGACCTTTTTATATGAGTAAGCCAATGGTCTTCAAACGCTGACAATGGTCTTACACAAACTCAAGTTAATCGGATCTCGTCAAAGAATTAATACTTTTCCTCATTTCAATAGAAAACGAGTCGCGTGCGTTTATGGTGTGATCAGGAGGCTGCTCCATTTACTGTTCGGAGTACTCCGGATTTTCGGAACACTAATTAAATCGAACCAACAATGATCACATGACTGTTCTGACGGTCACATGTCTGTTCTGGCTGCCCCTACTTTAGAGTAGGGTGATCGCTAGATAGTATACTTCAAAATAAGGTTTCCATTTTTATAACGTAGAAAAAAAACAATTCTAACGCAAAACTAAGCCCTAACCCTAATACTAACCCTCACCCTAACCCTAACCTAACCCTAACCTAAACCCTAACCTAACCCTAACTTATTTTAATTATTTTAAAAATTGATATAAAAACGGAAACCTTATTTTGAAGTATACTATCTAGCAATTGCCTTTAGAGTAGGGGCAGTCAGAACAGTCATGTGACCGTTTTCGGTTCGATTCAATTAGTGTTCCGAAAATCCGGAGTACTCCGAACAGTAAATGGAGCAGCCTCTGGCTCCAGGTGATAAATGTCATAAATTGATAATGGTAATGCACGCTGGGAATGTTGGGAGAATATGAGAGAAGCGTTGTAAAATACGAGGCGTAGCCGAGTGTTTTACACGCTTCTCGAGTGTTCTCCCAACATTCCCCGAGCGCATGATCACACCGTAAACGTACGAGACGGGTTTTTCTATTTCTTTTATAATATAAGTAGAAGATATTATTACATGGTAAACAATTTTACTAAAAAATGAACTTTGAAATTCTCCTAACATGTACTCGGTGACGTCACGCGCATGCTCTTGCGAGCGAAGGACAGTGCATTATTGCGTCACAATGCACACGCATTAGCCAATCAAACCGGTCTGTTATATCCCACTTATATTATAATGGCAATTAATAATAAGTTCCAGTTAAGCAAATCCAACATACAAAGTCACTTGGTGTACATATTGATGAGAACTTGTCTTGGAATGTTCACATTAGAAATTTGTGTAAAAAAGTTGCCCAGCATAGGTACAAGACCATTTGTCTCTCGGACTCTCTCCTTCCATTTACACTTATTTACACTTGTTTAATTACTTGGGATAATTGCGGTAGTACCGTAGTACTCTTGCGGAGAAACGTCACTGGAAACTCCAAAATGCTGACTTCATTTAGTTATTATACCAATGCTGACTGGAAAACCTTTCATCTGATTCTCAGCGTAAACTGATTGCTAAGGCTGTAATGTGTACAAATCTCTGAATGGTCTTGTACCAGATTACCTATCAAATTAGCTTTACGGCTCAACCACGCACAAACTATTGGAACAATAGTTTTAGCTAGAGTGGTGCGGCACTTTGGAACACGCTTTCAAGTCTGACTGCAGCAACAACTTCATACGACAATTTTCAAATTTTTATCTTCATATAAGCAATTGCACGACACTCGTGGAAAACAGGTACTGCATGAAATGATGGCCTTGTGCTGGCCTTGGCATGGCTCAGGACAGGGCCGTACACAGGTGTGGGGGGG